CAATTACTCAGATGAACAAAAGAAAGAGGTAGCAGATTAGAAATTGAAAGACTTAAGAGCTAAGAACTACTTTTTCCAAGCCATCAATGACTCAATTTTGGAAACTATTTCGGATAAAGAAACTTCGAAAGGAATTTGGGATTCAATGAAGAAAAAATTCTAAGCAAATACAAAGGTGAAACGAACACAACTACAGGCTCTGTGCAAGGACTTTAAGACCCTTCATGTGAAGGAAGGTGAAATTGTTTCTGATTTCCTTTTTAGTACTCTCACCATTGCTTAAAAAATGTGTTTCCATGGTGAAAATATGAGTGATGTTAGCATTATTGAGAAAATTACGCTCCATGCTTCAAAGTTTGATCACGTAGCTTGCTCTATTGAAGAATCCAACGATTTGGACATCATTTCCATTGATGAATTGCAAAGTAGTCTACTAGTTCATGAACAACGTATGCAAAGACATATTGTGGAAGAACAGACATTGAAGATCACTCTTGATAGTAGTATAGGGAGAACAAATCGTGGAGGTGGCACATTTCGAGGTAGAGGACGAGGACGTGGAAAACCAGGTTTTAACAAAACTCTTGTTGAGTGTTTTTATTATCATGATCTTGGTCATTTTCAATATGAATGTACCAAGAAAAATAAGGGAAATGAATCACAAGCTCATTTTCCTGAAACTTCTGAACCGCTGCTTGTCATGGCATTTGTCTAAAATCGACTCAACAGGTTGTTTGTCAAACAAAGATAGCCACCATGATACCAAACATGGAGCCACAAATGACTCAATTGGTGACCTTCATGAAGAAAATTCAGAGCAACACACATTAGAAGAACACATAATTGTTGATCTTGTTGTTGATCCCTCTAATAATTCTACTACTATTCTTATTTTCAAACTAGGAGACAAACGCTCTAGGCACCCTCCAACTTGGATGCGTGACTATGAGACTGGAGAGAACTTCTATGATGATGATGATGATTAAGGTAATTTTTCTCTATTTTTTTATCAAGATCCTTTAACATATGTGGATGCAGCAAAAAGTGCCAACTGGCGATGTGCCATGGATTCTGAGATTGAAGCAATACGGAAAAAAGATATTTGAGATCTCACTAGTCCTCCTCATGGTACAAAAACAATTGGGGTAAAATGGGTGTACAAAATGAAGCTGAATGAACATGGAGAAACCAACAAATACAAAGCTCGAGTTGTCGCTAAAGGATACACACAACAGCATGACGTGGACTACACAAAAGTCTTTGCCCTGTAACTCGTATGTACTCTATACGATTGATACTTGCTCTAGCAGCTCAAAAGAAGTGGATTGTGTTTCAATTGGATGTTAAATAAACATTTCTTCATGGAGAGTTGAATGAGGAGGTTTATATGGCACAACCTCTTGGTTACGTGATCAAGGGAGAAGAGGATAAAGTATAACGCTTGAAAAAGGCTTTATACGGTTTGAAACAATCTCCACGTGCGTGGTACAACCATATTGAAACTTATTTTCAAAAGGAAGGCTTTGAAAAGAAGTCTTTGAAAAGAAGTCATTACAAGGTACTTTCTTCCTTGTATGTCTTTATGTAGATGACATCATATTTATTGGAAACGATGAGGCTTTGTTGAGTTCTTTTAAAGAATCCATGATGAAGGCATATGATATGACTAATCTTGGATGAGTGCGATATTTTCTTGGCTTAGAAGTGTCACAACGAGTTAATGGTATTTTGATTTGTCAAAACAAGTATGCCCAGGAAGTATTGGAAATATTTAATATAGTCTGCAATGCTGTATACAATCCTATTGTACCTGGATTTAAGTTTGTTACGGATTCTACTAGCTTAATGTATTAACATCTACCAAACCTAACATCATGTTTTCTGTTAGTTTGCTTAGTAGGTACTTGACTAATCCTACTGAAATTCATTTTCAAGCCAAGCCATTAAAAGGGTGTTTTGTTACAGAAAAGGGACACTCATATTTGGTATTTTCTATAAGAAAGATGGTAATATTGAGCTTACTGCCTACATTGACAGTGATTATGCAGGAGATTTGGAAGATAGAAAAAATACATCAGGTTATTCATTTTTGCTAAGTTCAGAAGTTGTTTCATGGTTCTCAAAGAAGCAACCCATAGTCGCACTCTTCACTATTGAATCTGAATTCATTGCTGCTGCAACTTGTGCTTGCCAAGTCATATGGTTGAGAATGATGCTGGAAAAACTCGATCATATCCCAGTTGGAGCTACAATGGTGTACTGTGATAATAGTTTCACTATTAAGCTGACCAGAAATCCAGTCTTGCACGATCAAAGCAAATATATTGATGTTTGTTTCCACTTCCTCCGTGATTTAAGTAAAGATGAAACTGTGATGTTACAACATTATCATACTAAAGAGCAAGTGGCTGATATCATGACAAAACCTTTGACTCGAGTTATGTTTGAGAAGTTACACATGTTGCTTGGTGTCTGTCAAGATCCTCAAGTTTGATTTAAAGACTGAGTCATCAGTTTGGAGGGAATGTTGCAAAAGATTTAGTTACTATTTTATGTTTTAGTTTCCAAATATCAGATCACTAATATTATCTTATGCTGTATATTTTGTTTTGGCGTGATATTCTGCTTTCTATTAGAATTTTTTTTCTGTTAAACATTGTACTGGCTATAAATATATTCATTTTTCATCTAATAAAACATTGAATTTCCTTCCTTCTACAAACTTATCTTCATTAAATTTATCATCTCTAAAACTCGATTTTTTACTAAAATCAATTCAATTGATTTCTTACAAATAAAGAAACGAGCTCTTAAAATTATATTATTTGATTGAAATATTGATTTAAGAAAAACATTCAAGGTTCGATTGCTCAGTTGGTCAGTGCGTTGGTCTTATGAGCTAAAGGTTGTGGGTTTGAACCTACTAGAACCAACCAAAATTAGAGGGCACTTTCAACACTTTTTATTTAAACACGTATATACTTTACTTTTTAATGAATAATTTTTAATTTTTATTATAATTTCTATTAAAAAAATGTAAAGGAACCTAATAAAGAAATAAATTGAAGCTAGAAATATATGTATATAATACAAAAAAATAAATATAAATATACAATAGGTTAGTTATCTACCTTAGCGATCAACAATTAGTTCTTTTGGCTCTAATGGTGTGCATTCGAACCCAATGGCACATGGTTTTCCTTTCATGTCATAGTGACATGTGGCATAATTGGAAGGGTGGTAGGTCACAAGTTGGATGGAGGCAGTTCGGGTCGGTCAATTGCGAATCTTGGATCAGGTCACCGGTGGGTCTGCACTCACCAATCATATGTTGACACGTGTCGCGTAGTAGCCTTTCCTCACCTATTAGCTAGACTTGCATCTCCGTCAATGCTTGACTATCAAGTTTAATGATGATATGGCTGGAATAACTCAGCTGGTTAGAGAGTGGTTATCATCCACAAGGACGGAGGTTTAAATCTTCCTTTTAACAGTTTCTTATTTATTTGTATGTGTATCTACATTTGATTTCATCTTTTTTGGTGTGAATGTCTATCAATGGACTAGTGACATCTCCTCCAAACACCTATCAAAACTCTATTCCTCCATATCGTTCTTAACACCTATCAAGACTCTATCCCTTCACCCACTGATGCCCTCACTTCAAATAGTTAACACCTATTAAGACTCTATTCCTCCATGTTCTTCTTAACATCTATTAAGACTCAATTCCTTCGTCTACTAATGCCCCCACCTCACATAGGATAACATCTACTAGTTGTGTTCCTATTATAGCCCAAAATTTGAATCTCGAAATCAAAGACTGGACCAACAGACTATGCAATGAAATCGTATAAAAGCAAATAGGCAAGACGAAATTACAAAAAACTTTAGCAATTATGTAGAAAGTTTGAAATCTAAAACAAGGTGTTCAAGTAGTAAATGAGTTCTATGAAAAGTATGTAAATGGTTTACAAAACAATGCATGACAGATCTAAACAAAAATATGCACAGACTCCTGGAAGCCCCAGTACACTCCTCTGTGGCATTAAGATTTAGCATGCATTCCCGCCTCGAACCATGGCATCACTCACCTAAAAAAAAAAAGAGTAGAAAGGAATGAGTATAAAAATACTCAGTAAGCAGCCTACTTGTAGGCTCTTTTCGCATCCTTATCTTGGTAGGTATCAACAGTCTGTCTCGGGTTTCTAAGGAGAGTGATCTAAGCTACAACTCTCTTTTCTGTATCTTAGGAGGCTTGTCCATCTTATTCACTGAAATGATCAGTGTTCTGAGGTGAGGCGCAACCTCATAAGTAAATCTAAGGTGATCGTACGGATGGATCTGAAAACGTGACTCTCTCTAAACATCATCCATGGAGGTTAGCTGACGACCCTCACACGGAACCACACATTTACTAAATTTGGGGTGCGACCCCCCTGTGTGCCGGTCAGCTACTTAGTTGTCCTACGTGGCTCCATGTCCCCTACTCAGGGACGGGTTTCTTAGGCCCAGGAGTCCTATTCAGAAGACCCCTTAGCTATCACCACTAGGTCTGGGCACCTGTCACACTTTCCTATCTGGATCTGCCAAGCTCAACGATCTCCATACGAGAGCTCTGTCACGACGGTAAAGTATCGGAGAAGAGAGAGAAGTGGAGGTTCTGATGATAGTATCCACACTGCTCAACTCTAATGTGTTACCTACAATTACCGTGGTGACCTACTATTCTTTCTAGGGTGGAACTTGGTGGCTTAGACTTGGATTCATGCATCTCTAGGATTCTCGTGCTTGGTCTCACAAACCTATTGGGTTTGGAATTCTGAGCTCTGAATTTGCCGATAATCATTTTTGCGGGTCTATATGCACGGTGTTCTAGAGGCCTCCCATTCTAGGATCTCGTCTAGCCTACTTAGTCACAAGCACCCTAATCCACGCTCATAATTCCTTCCTATTCAACAAGAAAGATAACACAAGCAATCATCATGCATAAGAGTTCACGCGCAACAGTTCATGCAATATTAGCAAACATGCTCAACGGGAAGATAACGTCCATCTTCACCCGGAGAGTAGATTTCACAAGTTTCTCATCCTCCTCATGCATGCATACTTTATCAGAATCTCAATCAAAACAGATTTAATAAACATTTCATATCTTGCTTTCCTTAATCATTTCATTTTCGCAGTTTCTATACTAATATGCTAGGTCTGGCTAGTTAAGTTTATGGGTGGTAGTATGCATGCTCGTTCCTAGTGGTTCCTACATGTACTGCTCGTGGGAATCCAAATGGCTACTTACTTGGTTGACGCGTGCCTTCCCGAGTTCGAGTTTTCTTGACGGAAAGGATTCCAAAAATTCTGAAATTTCCTTGACAGGTCCTAATTCACATAATAATAGGGTTAGTGTCAAAATCGGGTCGAGAAACAAGCAAACAGAGACCGAACAGAAAGAAAAAAAGTGACTCACGCGCCTACACGCGCCTTGGAGGGTTTCTACGCGCAGATCCTATGCGCGCGTGCCCACGCACGGCTTCCCGAGTAGTCGCAGGTCAGAGGCGCCAGGTCGGGGTGGTTTACGGATGGAGCGGTACACATGTGGTGCCGGGTCGGGCTGGCCCTGATTTGCGTGCCTGACGCGTGTTCGCTGCCGTGTGAGGACGTGCCTCACCAGTCGGTGATCGCCACGTGTTGATCATTGATTCCGCCACGCTCCTCCGTATGCTGGCCGATGCGTGGCAGCATCTCTTCCCTCTCTCCTGCGTGTTTTCAATTTTTCCAATGTTAGTCTCTTTCACGTTTCGATCTATTTTCTTCCAATATTTTTATCTTTCAATTCGTAACCTGATTCAAGAATTTTCTTCACGAACCTTGTAGATCTCCTATTCTAATCATTCGAAACAATTTTCTTATATTTTTTTGATAATCACAGATCTTAACATTTGTGTTCGAATTTGGAGAAAACACGAGTTCTTACCGAAAATCACGTTTTCTTGAAACTTCGATTTGAATGCCAATCTTGGCCGCCTTCACTCTGAAACTTAACCAGATAACGTTGTTGAGGTTAAGAATCCAAGGATCAACACAAAATGTCGCTAACACATGAAAATCTTGATGACTTCTCGATCTAGACATTCGTGGACTAACCTGAAGTTCTTGGACGTTTTGACGAAATAGGAAGGTGCGATTTGTAAGAGCACCTTGCCTCGGGCTGTTGATGGTTTATATTGGAGACTCGGATCTCCAGCATCGGTTCTGATCTGATCTCCTCCTCCTACCTCAAAAACCCTAATCTTTTTTCCCCCTTCTTTTTCCTCTTTCTCTCCCCTCTTCTTTCTCTTTTTAGATTATGACCCAATCAAATCAGACCCCTCAAGTAATAATAGGGAAAAATGACTAGTTTGCCCCTATTGTAACCCTTTTTTTTTTTTTTATAAACTCGGCGCTACAATCCTCCCCACCTTAGCAACTTTTGTCCTCGAAATTTGATCCTCCGTGGAAGAGTTCAGGGTAAGATCTTCTCATGTCATCCTCACATTCCCAAGTGGCCTCATTGTCTTGATGGTTTTCCCATAAAATCTTGACTAAGGAAATCTCCCTTATTCGTAGTCTCCTCACATCGCGTGCCATTATCCCCATGGGTTTCTCCTCATATGATAGGTCCTTTCGGATGGGAAGTGTCTCGTGATCAATGATGTGAGTGAGATCTAGGGTGTACTTTCTCAGCATCGATACATGGAATACGTTGTGCATTGCGGTGAGTGTGGGTGGCAATGCTAGTCTATAGGCCACGGGCCCTATCCTTTCTAAGACTTCAAAGGGTCCCACGAATCTCGGGCTCAGCTTGTCCTTCTTCCCAAACCTCAGCACTCCTCTCATGGGGGCTACTTTCAGGAAGACGTGGTCTCCCACTGCAAACTCAAGGTCTTTCCTACGGGAATCTGCATAACTCTTCTGCCGATTTGTGCAGAGAGTATCCCCTGTTTGATTTTCTGTACCGCTGCGTTGGTAGATCTGTACCAACTCCAGCCCCAACAACTATTTCTTGCCTACCTCCGCCCAGAATATAGGGGTTCTGCACCTCGGCCCATATAGAGCTTCGAATGGTGCCATCTAAATGGTTTCCTAGTAACTATTGTTGCCTAGTAACTATTGTTATAGGCAAACTCCATAAGGGCCAGGTGCTCATCCCCAGCAACCTGCAAAGTCTATCACACATGCCCTCAACATATCATCCTAGCACCTCTGCCCATCTGAGGATGGAATGCTGTACTAAACTTGAGTTGCGTTCCCAACGCCTTTTGTAACCCTTTCCAAAAGTTAGAAGTAAACTTAGCATCCCTATCAGACATAATGGTCACTGGCACGCCGTGCAGGTAGATTATTTCCTTGACATACAACTGGGCCTAGTGGTCCACTCGGTAAGTAGCTCTACCGGGTATAAAGTGGGCTGCCTTAGTCAATCTGTCCACAATGACCCAGATGACATTAAATCCTTGTCGAGTCTTTGGTAGGCCCGCGATGAAATCCATGCTTATTTCCTCCCATTTCCACGGTGGGATATTCAATGGTTGCAACAACCCTGCTAGTCACTGTCTCAGGGCCTTTACTTGCTGAAAGTTCAGACACCGACACACATACTCAGCTACATCCTTCTTCATTCCCGGCCACCAATAACTACACTTAAAATCCTGATACATCTTAGTACTACCAGGAAGGAACATGTAGGACGTGTTGTGTGCCTCAGTCATGATTTCTTGTAGGATCTTCTCATCCCGAGGTACGCATAATCGGTCCTGCCACATCAATCCCTCTTCAGAAGAAACTAAATATCCCTCTGGTCTCTCAGTTTCTTGCTGACCCCAGATCCTACTGAGGTGCGTATCAATTCTCTAAGCTTCAATGATACATCTCTTGAGGGTGGGTTGGACTGAAAATTGCGCTAGTTGAACGGTGATGCCTATAACCAAGACTTCTATTTCAACCCTCTGTATCTCATCCTGTAGATACTTTTTCCTCGTGATCAGAGAAGATGTGTGGGCTGTCTTTCTGCTCAAGGCATCTGCCACTACAGTAGCTTTTCCTGGGTGGTAAAGTATTTCAATGTCATAGCCCTTAACTAGTTCTAACCACCTCCGCTGTCTCATGTTGAGCTCTTTATGTGTAAACAAATACTTGAGGCTCTTATGGTCCGTATACACCTGAACTCTTTCCTCATACAGGTAGTGACGTCAGGTTTTCAATGCATATACCACGACTGCTAGTTCCAGATCGTGGGTGGGGTAGTTGCACTCATACTCTTACAACTGTCTAGAGGCATAGGCTATCACCTTGCCCTTTTGCATGAGTACACAACCTAGCCCTTTTCCTGAAGCGTCGCTGTAAACCACAAGTCCACCTGACTCGGCACTGTAAGTACAGGCGCAGTGACCAACCTCTTTCTCAGTTCTAGAAAACTCTATTCACACTCTTATGTTCAGATAAAAGGTTTCCCCTTCTTGGTAATTGTGTCAAAGCTGCAGATATTTTAGAGAAATCTTGTACAAACCTTCTATAATAGCTTGACCTAGAAAATTCCTTACTTTAGTGACCGTGGTTGGTCTAGGCCATTTTAAGCCTGCTTCGTCTTAGCAGGATCCACAGTTACCCTCTTTCTTTCCTTTTTTTTCAGGTACCAGTCGATACGGAGAGGTGTTCGAGAGCTGCACTGTCACAGAAGGGTGTCGTTCCAGAGCGTCAGTCCCTTGTCGGTCTTTTAGAGTCCTTCATCCATTTTTTTTCATATTTGGAGTCTTTTGTATTTTATATTTGCAATTCTTATTTGTAACATTTGACTTTGATTTTATATTTAATTTTGGTGTCCTTGATTTCATTTTCTTGTTTTAAATTTTGCTAGATTTTTACTCTCTATTTTATTTTCTTTTTATTTTTATTTGTCTTCGATTTCGTCTTTTTAGTCACGATTCGGTCTTATGAAGCCTCGAAAATCGGGTCGTGACAGTTCCCATGTTTGAGGCTGGAAAAACTTAAACAGGACAATATCTACTAGCTATGAGCCTGGACCAATATTTATTAGTTGTGGGCCTAGACCCCTGAACTGTTACATTATATTTGTGAAATACTAAAAAACTAAAATTGGATAATATCTACTAGCTTTGGGCCTAGACCAATATCTGTTAGCTGTGAGCCTAGACCCCTATACCGTTACATTATGTTTGTGAAATACTAATGAAGGTGTCGAATGATCCAATAGGAACCAACCACCAACGAAAGCGTAGGACGTATACGAGGAGCTAGGAGCTTATGTATATATTTAGGGAGTACATCTACTAAGGCATACCAAGTAAGTGGCTCTCCCATCGTAAGTTACGCATTTGTATACTGTATGTTGGCACATGCCCGTGGTTTCGCACGTGTCATTAAATTGTATGTTAGACTGATATGCTTTGATACGTAAGCTTGTGAAATGTGAATGTATGTTGTTTTAGTATTGATTTGACGTGTGATTTAGTATCATGTGATATTATGTTTACTAAATTGTATGTAAAACAACATACTATGTGTGACATGAAATTACGAACTATAGCATGAAATATAACCCCGTTAGAATTATGCATGATAGGAAAAATGTAAAACGAAAGATATTATGATATGAATGAAACTGATAGCCAAGTTATATTTACTAATGATAAAAGTATAAGTATTGGGGACCTCATACATTATGTGTGCTCATGCATTGGGGTAATAACACTATTCCATCACGAGGGTACGAACGCGTACACCCAAGGGCAGGAGAACAATCGTTATGTTTTACATAACGGTGCCATGACAGTTACTAGTTCTAACGAGTGTCCGACTTAAGGAGCTCCCAGAGTATGCTCGCTCGACAAGGAAAGTGGCCCAGCAGTATGTGAACTGACTGGTAAGTCCATACTCACATGTATGGGTTGTGTGTAGAGTATATATTACACATCCAAATTACCCGATAGGATAGCACCGTAGGAAGATAAATTGAAGGATAGGTCCCGTCATCTCATTGCATCTAATTGTTGCATAACCCCGATAGAGGGTCACTTACTGAGTATTCTAGAAATACTCAAGTCTCATGCTACTACATTTTCAGATAAAGGGAAGACACACATGTGAGACCAACGTCAGCATCGCATAGCTTGTGACAGTGGCACATGCCCCAAAAAAATAAATAAACAAAGAAAAAAAACATATAAAAAATATAAAAAAGAAAAAGAGTACATAAATAAATAAACAAAAAAAAAAAAACAACCCTCCCTACTCCTTCCACTAAATCTCTCATCCCTCTCTCCATAATCCCCTCAAACCAATTCTTACACCAGACTCTCAAGTTCTGCAAAATGTAAGAGAAAACACAATTTTATTTTTAAGAAATCACCCCAATTATATTTTAGATCTTCCCTACATAATTGTCGGTCAAAACTTCATATGAATTATGGTGATTATGGTAGATTCGTAGACAAATGAATCAATTAAATTAAAAACCAAGAATATCTATAAATAAACGTGAAAGAGTGAAAATTGACGTGGACCTAGAATACTGCTAACACAATCAAAAGAAAAAAAAATAAAGGGATAAAAAGAAGGAAATACATGAGAAACAGAAAAATGAAATACAGGTATAAACAAAAGAAGGAAATATAGGCCGATTAATTAATGGAATCAAAAGAAAAGAAAAAGGAATACAAGAAAATACAACTAACATTTGAGCTCGTTAACATTATCAAAAGAAAAGGAAACAAAATTGCAAATAGAAAATAACAAAGAGAAAATGAGAGAGAGGAGGTAAGAATGGCCAAGAAAATTTATTACAATGAAAATACCAAAGAGAAAAAGGGAATTGATCAATAATATTTATCAACCCAATGAAAACATAGTCAAAGAGAGAGGGACATGTGATATGATATGAAAATGATATGAAATATGTTAGGGTAGGAGACATGGGATTCAATTGACATGTTTAGGATATGATATTGTGATGTGATATGTTATGTTTAG